AGAGAGTTGCAGGGAGGAGAAAGATAAAATAAAAAGATCGTAGGGATGTTGAATATTTTTATATACGACGACTCGACGTTGGTCATCCATCAGCGGCTGCAACTGCTCTTATTTCTTCTTGGTGGCCTTCTCAGCGGCCTTGGTCACCTTGCCGGTGGCCTCCTTCGGCTTCACGGACTTGATGACGCCCACGGCGACGGTCTGTCTCATGTCGCGGACGGCGAAGCGGCCGAGCGGGGGGAAGTCCGTGAAGGACTCGACGCAGAGCGGCTTGGTGGGCACCAGCTCGACGACGGCGGCGTCGCCGGACTTGATGGCCTTCGGGTTGTCCTCCAGCTTCTTGCCCGATCGACGGTCGCACTTCTCCTTGATCTCCGCGAACTTGCAGGCAATGTGAGCGGTGTGGCAATCGAGCACCGGAGTGTAGCCGTTGGCAATCTGACCGGGGTGGTTCAGCACGATCACCTGGGCGGTGAAGGACTCGGCGCCCTTGGGCGGGTTGTCCTTGCTGTCGCCGGCGACGTAGCCACGGCGCAGCTCCTTCACCGAGACGTTCTTCACGTTGAAGCCGACGTTGTCGCCGGGCACGGCCTCAGTGAGGGCCTCGTGGTGCATCTCCACCGACTTCACCTCAGTGGAGAGGCCGACCGGGGCAAAGGTGACGACCATGCCGGGCTTGATGACGCCAGTCTCCACTCGGCCGACGGGCACGGTGCCGATACCGCCGATCTTGTAGACGTCCTGGAGGGGCAGGCGCAGCGGCTTGTCCGTGGGACGCGACGGGGGCTCCTGGGCGTCGAGGGCCTGCAGCAGCGTCTTGCCCTCGAACTTGGCGCCCTTGCGCTCGATGGTCCAGCCCTTGAACCAGGGCATGTTGGTGGAGGGCTCGAGCATGTTGTCGCCGTTCCAGCCGGAGATGGGCACAAAGGCCACGGTGGCGGGGTTGTAGCCGATCTTCTTCACGTAGGCGGACACCTCCTTCTGGATTTCCTCAAAGCGGGCCTGGCTAAAGGGCGGCTCGGTGGTGTCCATCTTGTTGACACCGATGATCATCTGCCTGACACCGAGGGTGTAGGCGAGCAGGGCGTGCTCTCGGGTCTGGCCGTTCTTGGAGATGCCGGCCTCGAACTCGCCAGTACCGGCGGCGACGATCAGCACGGCGACATCAGCCTGGGAGGTGCCGGTGATCATGTTCTTGATGAAATCGCGGTGGCCAGGGGCATCGATGATGGTAACGTAGTACTTAGGGGTCTCAAACTTCCAGAGAGCAATGTCAATGGTGATACCACGTTCACGCTCAGCCTTCAGCTTGTCGAGCACCCAGGCGTACTTGAAGGAGCCCTTGCCCATCTAGGAGAGATAAAAAGAATTTTAGTAAACTAGTCAATTGTGTTATGGTCAAGCAAGATCACTCACCTCCTGGGCCTCCTTCTCGAACTTCTCGATGGTTCGCTTGTCAATGCCACCGCACTTGTAGATAAGGTGGCCGGTGGTGGTCGACTTGCCAGAGTCGACGTGACCGATGACGACGATGTTGATGTGGGTCTTTTCCTTTCCCATTGTTGGTTAGTGGGTTCTGGATTGGAGTAGAAGAGAGAGAGATAGGGGTGAGAGTTGGTCAAAGTTTGAGAGAAAAGGCGACGACGTGCGCGCGTGGTCTCGAGGTGTGCAGAGAAAGAGCTAGCGAGAGAGAGGATCGAGCGTGAGGGAAGTGCGGTGTGCAGCGAACGGAAATACGCCGACTATAGCGACACTGGTGGGNGCAGAGAAAGAGCTAGCGAGAGAGAGGATCGAGCGTGAGGGAAGTGCGGTGTGCAGCGAACGGAAATACGCCGACTATAGCGACACTGGTGGGGCGACGGAGGCGGCCAGTGCGCATTCGCCGCCGCAGCCTGTGCTGCAGCAGCAGTCGGCGACGACGCTTGCCCACGTTGGCAGTGAAGCTGAAGCGGCTGCTGCATTGCAGAGGAAGGGGATCCGTCGCCGATCATCAGAGAAAGAGGAGAACTAAGAAAGAGGCGCAAGAGGATCTCATCGTGGCGGAGCTTTCGCCGGCTACGAAACAGTGGGAGAGGAAGACACGTTGGACAAGTGCGCGCGCGGCTGCAGCCGGCTGAGCTGGCTATCTCAATGGCTGGCAACGTTGCGACGTCGTCTACGTATGCCGGGGGTACACAGCAGCACAAAAAGGAGAAGGGAAGGGAAGCTGCAGCGATTTGGATTGGAATGGCCTGCCTCGGCCCAGGCTGCAGTAAAAGGCACCAGTTGCTAAGGGCTTTAACTATGGAGGAGAGCAGAGAAGGAGGAAAGGAGGAAAAAGGAAGACGGTTGCTTGGCTCCTGCTGCTGGTTGCCGACGATTGGTGATCGTTCTCGAGAGGAAAGAGGTGACTCATCTTCATCATCACCAAGTCGCAAGTGCTGGTGATGATGAAGATGATGAAGGGGAAAAGTAGAAGAAAGAAAAGAGACCTAAACGACTGACAGAATCAAGAGCATCAGCTGAGACAGTTGATGACAACAAAAGAATGTTAGGGAAACTAAAATTGTTAGAGAGAAGATGAAGAGAATGAGGGGGATGATGCAATGATGGGAGAACAAGGATCTTTGGTTAGGCAGATCAAACAAGAGGGTCAACTAACAGCTAATGTTAAGGACAGTGGTCAAGAAGTGGGGAGGGGGACAGATTGAGGGGATGCTAGGCACGAGACAGTAAATGATGATGATGATCAACAAAAGTACTCACGGGTTGTTGGGTTGTTGAGACGAAGAGAGGCAGAGAAAGTCCGGGAGAGATGCGTTCAGTGCGTGAACAACGTGTACACGGCGCTGTGTGCAGATGCAGAAAGAGGACAGGCAGAAGTCTGCTCTGGCGTTTTGTAGTCTTTCACTGAAAGTGCTGCAGCCGCCGCCGCCGCTTTCCGCCACGCCGAGGCCGCCAGGGGCGCTACTTCTGCGCCAGAGCTCAGACAGCAGCAATGGAGACGCCGCCTGCGGGCGCCACCGACGCCTGACACGCCAAATCCGGGCGACAAGGCGTCAGGGACACGTGTCCGGCCGCTGGTCACCCGTTGACACGACATTCCTGCCCTTCTTTGAACCCGATTTTGGCCGATTAGAGGGCCGTAGTTTGCCCGTTTGCGTAGCGACCGTCGAGCAGAAGACTTGGTGGCTAGCAATCCTACTACGCGGACGCTGTGGTCGGCTCTCCCGGCTCATCTGCTAGCGGTCCACCTGTCCATCTTCGCAGAGTACGTCTCCCCGGCAAAGTTATTATTTTCTGGTAAACAACGATGCTGAAACGGTGGTCCTGGAACGGAGTTTTAGGTTGAAGTATTGTTGGTAATGAATTCATCGATGACTGTATCTGTGTGCTGTTAGGTCAAAGTTCAAAGTGTCAGGTGCCAGCTAATCCTCACTGTACACGTGTGTGTGTGCCTACGATATCGGTCAGACGAGGGTGACGATCATGATGCTGATAAACTCAGGCCACCGGCCATGACCGGTCACGGCCACATCTAATCAGCCGAGAGATAGAAAAGTCAGGAAAAGGGCAAAGATGTTTCTAGAAACAGCTATGGAGAGCTTTAGACAGTACACCCTCGGCCACTGTCATCTTTCTAGTTTAAACAGTAACAGGGCCCTAGGACTTTTTTTTGTTAGTCAAAATATAAAGTACCCAAAATCTGTACCAAAACACACTTCCTTGCCTGATCACTTTCTGGCTTTCCCACAGTTTTACCAAAACCCAATACGAAGCGCCGCCCTGGCGGTGCATTCCAGCAACACTTGCAGTGTTTTGGTTTGAGTGTGCACATTTTGTTTCTTTCTTCGTCCTTGCCTGCAAGTATCCAAAGAATCCATCCCCGTGATCCGCCAGCAATGTCCGCCCTCCTCGGCGCCCTCTCCGCTCGCTTCGTCCAGTCAGTTCGAAGTACCGCCAACGGAATTTTCAGTCGAGCATCAACATCAACAACACCGACTTCCTCCACGTGCTTCGTTTCGGCCGGTGCTTTCCAGCAACGTTTCGTATCGAGCAGCAACAAAGCAGCCGCCAAAGCAGCCGGTGGTGAGGGCAGCAAAGCCAGCAAAGTCAAAGGCCACGCTTTTCCGCAGTTCGCCGACCTTCCGCCGGTGCATCGAATTGCCGGACAGGGCAACGCCTACGTGACCAAGGTTGAGCGGAAGAGGGTTCTAGTGGACCCGAATGTGCCCAACTTTGACCACATTGAGCCGCTGAAGTGGACCACCTGGCGCATGCTGAGGGACGTCCGCCGACGGACGCTCTTTACGCGATACTTCTTCAAGCGTACGGCGCTCTACAATACGAGAAAGTGCGGTCTGTTGCCGAGCTTTGTTCGGGTAAGGATTTTTTTTGGGATGTCTGTGGAAATTGCTTGACTGACTGACTTTCTCTTTCTTTTGCAGGAGGCAGCCAAGGAAGAGGAGCTTCGCCTGCCCCGAGACTCGATGTTCCATATGATGCACATTCGCTGCGCTGTCTCCGGTCGATCTCGTGGTCTGCTCAAGAAGTACCGTCTTAGTCGACTTGTCTGGCGTAATCTGGCGGACAACAACAAGCTCTCCGGGGTGATCAAGGCCAGCTGGTAGAGCTAAGCCTAAACGTTTGCAATCTTCCTCTTCAGTGTAGTCAGTGCCTTTAGTAGTGTCGTGTTTTTCTATTTTTCTCCTCAACCTTACAATAAAACCCTCAAAACGAACCTCATTTCACCTTTTGTACGTCAACAAACTCCTCATCATCAGAATGATCCCCGTGAAGCACCGTCACGGCCTCTTTGCCGTCTGGAACGCCCAAGGTTTGTTTTTTGTTTCTACTTTTACCACTTTTTCTAATTTCGACTTTTGCAGACGCCATCCGCCTTCGAAAGGAGCACCACATTCTGGGCAACCTCGTCGGCGCCCTGCCCGAACATCCTCGCCAACACCACGAAAACGGCCTTCCTCTAATGCTGATGCCCGAGGAGGTTCGACTTCTCCAACAACAGGGTCTAGCAACAATCGTCGACCACAAAAGTAGCAGCGAACCAGACCACCTTGAGCTGCTCTTCACCAGCGACCACCTTCAGACCTTCTACCGTCAGCTGCAGGCAAATGAATACGAGCAGATGAACCGAGAAGCAAAGACGGCTAGAAAAGCCGAAATTGACGCCCAGTTTGAGCGGATCGCCGCCGGCAAGGCGAAGAAGCTCGGTCTGCAGAACTTGACCGGCGAAGAGCGTGCCGATTTTGAGGCAGCACTTCGAGCCGAGCTGTACGCCGGAATCGGTGATCTGCCTCACAGAGACGACCAGCAGCCCTCGCTGCTGCCCGCTCGATTTCACCTTGAATCGCCCTATCAACGAATGCCTGAAACTTTATCACCACCACCTCTTTTCGAACTGCCTCCTTTGGCGCCTCGCTCCCTGCCCGCCCTCAAGTTCGCCGTCTTTGAGCACTTTTGGAATCGAGGCTACTACCTCTCTGATGGCCTCAAGTTTGGCGCCCACTTTCTCGCCTACGACCACAGTCCGATGGCCTTTCACGCCAAGTTTATCATTATCTGCATTGCCAGTGGTGGTGCTGGTGATGGTGGTGCTGATGAGGTGACTCGTTTTGAGGAGACTCTTCTGCAAGCCTACGGCCGACTGGGGAAGAACGTGCGCAAGAATGTGGTTATTGCTCACTGGAAAAATGAGGAGGATGTTGTCGTCTACAAACATGTTCAGTGGAATGCTTTGCCGGGTTTCTCATGAGAGTCATTCATTCATTCATTTCGTCATTTGTTTTGGTCAAAATAAAGACTTGTTGTTGTGATCATCAGAGTGACTATGTGACACTGTAAAATCAATGTCGAGGACAAGATGTAAAAAAGTGTTAAGCAGAGTAAAGGGGGTGGGATTAGGAGAGTAAAATGGAAGGAGTGAAAGGGAATGTCGATAAGAGCAAACGGAGTTTTACCATCCTGAGCATTTCTACCACTTTCTAAACGGCTGTTGTGCCAGGATCCAGCCCGACCTTCTCTTGCCTTCAGCCGGTTTGTCTCCCATTTCACAGTCTTCTCTAAAGGTGTCAAATTGTCGAGGTATTTGGTAATTGCAGTTGCCGGTGTTTTGAATTGACTGGAGCATATTTTTTGGTATCACTTCTTTAGAATTTTGCTGTTGTTGTTGTTGTTGTTGTGGTATTGCAGCCGTTGGACGTAGTGCCCGTTGTTCTCGAATGCGAAGCGATTGTCGAGGCGGTGGCTTAGCCAGTGGCCAGTTTTCCTGTTTGAGAAAAGTTGATTTTAAAACAAATTCTGATAAGATCTTCAGGCGAAACCAGCACTTACCGATCCAACGCTCCGCTTCACCTTCTTCAGCTTCTTCACCGCCCTCAGGCGTCGGTGATTGGCTTCAGGCACCAGAACGTACACGGCTGTACGCCAGTTACGCGACACCACAGGCACCGTACGAAGATCCTTCGGACGAAGGTACTGAAACAGCCGCTTTAAAACCGGTTGATAAGGTAGAAGCTTACTGATAAAATCAACACGGGAGGGTGAACTCGCTGATGATTCTG